TCATAGTGTTCAAATGGGAGATTGGAGAAAAGATGGAGAAGTTATTGAAATGGAGTCACACTGTTCAATTCAAAGATTGGAGGGAAGATGAAGGGGGTTATTGAAATGGAGTCATACTGTTCAAATGGGAGATTGGAGGGATTATGGAGGAGTTATTGAAATGGAGCAAGCACGAAAGTATGTGGAAAAACATGGAGCATTATTACTAGAATAACTTAGGTGGTATGTGGAAAAACATGTAGCATTATTACTAGAAGAACTTAGGTGATTACTGGTGTGTGTGGATGGAGAGAACTTGTGCCAAGAACCTTGCTTTGGCTGATGTTAGATTCTTCTTGCATGTAAATAAATAAATGAGAAGAATAATTATACTTGTTTTATTTATTCTCAAAGTTTCAATAATTTTAGTTTATTTCCCAACGTTTCGATATTTCTCTTTCGTATTTCCCTACATTACGATATTTTTTTTTGCTTCTTTCCAACGTATCGATATTTGTTATTACTTCCCGACCTTTCGATTTTAAAGTTTCACCAAGGTTAGTGTTGCTGGATCTAAAGGTCGTTTATTTACAAAATACTTCTCTTCAATAGTCACGTACAACTTATTTACGTTGATCTAACTTGATTGTGTACAAAAAGTCACTTTTAAATTCTTAATATAAGCAATTACAATTAAACAAGTGCTAAATAATCAACTACTGATATACCTTGTGTTTGTTTGTTTGTTTTTGAATTTCGCGCAAAGCTACACGAGGGCTATCTGCGCTAGCCGTCCCTAATTTAGCAGTGTAAGACTAGAGGGAAGGTAGCTAGTCATCACCACCCACCGCCAACTCTTGGGCTATTCTTTTACCAACGAATAGTGGGATTGACCGTCACATAATAACGCCCCCACGGCTGAAAGGGTGAGAATGTTTGGTGTGACGGAGATTTGAACACACAGATTGACTGATATACTATAGAAAATACATTTTCACTCTAATATACGTTTAAAGGAGAATTCTGTGCCTATTGAACAGAGTTGTATTGTGTTCATGTTACTTTTTTCTGATATTATTTAGAAACGTATGATCTAACTATTCCCCGAAAGAGGAGACTGAAATCTTCACAAAAATTGTAACATTACATTTATTCAAGGATCTTGAAATCCACAAATACAATAAACTACCAGTATTACAATATTGGATAAAACAGTTACTGTAATTTCAACTAAGCCTTGAAAATAAGAGAATTAACTAGTATATAAACGTATTGTTAATCGTTTTGTTTTAGAGTAAACAACAACAAAAAACTCAATTATCGAAACAGGAGACCATATATACAAAGTATTGTTAAAATCTTCACTGTCACAACGAAGTCTCTTAGCACTTTTAAATATTTAAGAGTAAATATTCTTTTAACCAACATATAAATGGTCTTCCAAAATGCAGCAAAAAACTGAGTAAAAAATGTATACAACTTCTCCTGGTTTTTGCAGAGTCATTTGTCGAACCTGAAATAAAAGAAACGAGAAAGCAGCACAACGATTTCAGCTTTACCGAAGCAATGTAAAAATACACCAGATATGCTAAATAGAAAAATATCCTTTCTGATGTTTAACACAAATCCATTTTCTTCATTTTTCTCTAAATGACGACGTCAATAATGTACCACTACAAAAACGTTTGGAAATAGTCTTATAACAAGGTACTATTTGGGCATCAGTTTCCTGTCACGTTCGAGTTCATTCAACCCACGCACACACAGATACATGAACATTTACTCAGTGTCAAATCAACTGAACAAACTCAGAAACATGCTAAATAGTAGATGAAATTCTGATTCGCGTAGAAGTTTTATTGCCCGAATAACTGCATATTCGAGATATCAACTTGTGTTATACAAAAGTTAAGTACATTATAGTATTACAATAAAACAATTTTATATCCTCATCATGGCACTACGTCCGATCATACTCTATCTGACGACCGTGCATCTTGACAATAGCCCTGCAGTGTAGTTTCAATTGAAAAAAAAGCTCCGCCGTAAGGATACCATAAGGGATGGAAATAGATTTTTAGAACTAGGAGCACACTCCAAAATCGGGGTTAGATGGGTGGGGGGGGGTATCGGGGTTTTTAATATGAGCATAAAATATTAGTCCTTCATCTGGACCTTCAGGAACTAAGGTTACGACTCATCCTGGGTACCATATTCAGAACACACTCCTCCTCCCTGCACGCTTCCCATAGTCAATGGAACGTACGAGAACAACCATTTCACAGTGCCTACGCCAATAATCCTTTCGCACAGAAATCTATAGAACCTACATTCTGGGATTTGACCGTTATGTCTTCACATGGAACACCATGAATACACGTTTCACTTTCCAGCTGCGACGGTTAAACTGATACATTGTGGAAGAAATTTGTGTATAAGTGACTTGTGTCACTATTCCAGACGGAGATACTTCTTCATTACGTTGATAACTGTTGCCTGGGTTACGTAGACGTTATTCGTCAATGTCTTTTGTGTTCATGGGTTCCTACTTGTTACAAGTTACCCCACCTTGCTTATCTGCGCTAGCCATCCCTAATTTAGCAGTGAAAGACTACAAGGAAGGCAGCTAAGTCATCACCACCCACCGCCAACTCTTGAACTACTTTTTTACCAACGAATAATGGGATTTAACGTCACATAATAACGCCCTCACGGCTGAAAGGGCGAACATGTTTGGTGGGACGGGGATTTGAATCCGCGACCCGCAGATTGCGAGTCGAACTCCCTAACCACGTGGCCATGCCGGGCCTACAGGTTTATTGGTACTGGTTTTATGAATATTGATAAAAATGACAAACCCATCTAAGTAAGAAATGAATAAAACAATGTTACATAAAATGTTGGATGTCTTATCAAGAATGGAAAACGGTTTGTATTGAAACTTTCATTTTATTTTCCATTCTCCGAAGCTGAGTTAGAAACTATAATTACTGGTGACCAAAAAAAAAAAAAGAGAGAAACTTTTACTCTATTCGTTGATTTCAAGTATTTGTGACTTTTATGAGTTAGGCCTACACGGGATTGGTTGGTATTTTGTCAGGGAAGATTAGTAGGAAACCGACTCGAGTAAAATTAATTTAGTTTATCACCATCCTACAATAATAAAGAGCCGAGTTCGAGTCTGTGTAAGTTTATCTATTAATCCACAGAAGAAAGGCTACAGATTTACTGTTATTGTACTCCGTAGTATTTTGTTTCGTTCTTTATTGTTGTACAGATACAAACACAAACTTATTAACAAAAACTAAGAACTGTAGAACTTTAACATAATATTCAAGAACGACCTTCTTAACTTGGTTAAAACTATCTGATATTAATCGATCAACAAATAAAAGTGGTTGTTTCTGAGAGGATGTACTATCATATAATAAAGCATTTTTTTTTATCATATAATAAAAGCTTTTTTTTTTTTACCTGGATCAGCTATTGGCTCCTTTCTATGGGTTTGCTCAATGACGGGAAAGTCGGTGGAAATAAGGGTGTTCGTAGAATAATTAATTCTTCCTGAAGAAAGAAAATTAAAAATAACTGTTATACCGAATTGAGCAGAATAATATTAACTTTTATGGAATTAATATCTGTCGAGGTTGAGCTAAGCCTTATCTTTTTTTTTTCATCATATTAATATTCAGTACAAATTAATTTACTTTGTATGATATCCTACGCAATTATAATGATTATGTGGTACAAACAAAATGAAAAACAAAACAAATTAAAATATATATACTCATGTTAGCTTCATGCTCTTCCATATCGATGTTATTCATGACTTGTTTCACCTTGAGTGGGAGGTCTGTAAAATAATGTTATATTAAATATGGAAGTATAAGTTTGCCAAAATTTTGTCGTTTTTGATAAGTTAACAACAAATGAAAACTTTGAGAAATGGTTAAATCTGAAACTATGTTGACAAAATTGTTTACTGGTGTTTCAGAGACAGGAGTCTCGAACCTTATTGCAGCATCCTTTCACTATCACAACAGCACTAAATTGGCCGATAGGAGTATAAACACGTTTAGAAGTAGATGTTAAGATAATTTCCGGAAACTCTGAACGTTTGTATATCAAATAATAACTGCTAGATTGTGTTCAAATAAAACATCTGCCTATGATAATTTCGTCCACAGAAGGTTTATATATTATTCAGTTTTATATAGCTAAATAAACCTATTGAGAAGAAATTACAACATCTTACAACTTACATACATCATTTGTGAAGGTACAACATCTAACAACATGGAAGTGTCATTTGTGAAAACTCCACATCTAATAATTTAGAAATGCCAGTTATAATAACACTACACTCGGGGATGTCAGTTGTGAAAATACAACATCTAATAACTTAGAAATACCAGTTATAATAACACTACACTCAGGAATGTTAGTTGTGAAAATACTTCATCTAACAACTCAAGGATGTCGGTTGTGTAAACACTTCAACTATCAAATTAGAGACATCCGTCGTAAAATCATTGTATCTAACAACTTAGAGAGATAAGTTGTGAAAAACTACATCTACAGATATTAGTTACAAGACACTACATATAATAACTTCGAGATGTCAGTTGTGAAAACACTACATCTTACATTTAACAATTAGTCGTCACAAAGTGATAGACTAGAGGAAAGACAGTCTACTTTTTGGGATAGTCGTCAACAACGAATAGTATGACTGACCGTCATATTATAACGCCCCCACGACTGAAAGGAACACCATATTTGGAAACAGGTTTCAATCCCGCAATCCGCAAATAATCGGTCGAGTGCTCTAACCACCAAGCCATGCTAGGCCACCTAAAGCCAAATTTAAGTTTCATTTTGTTAAATAAAACACAATAGTCCTAACACTCTTGAAAACGTTTTTTTTTTTTGTAAAAGGACTATAAGCGAATTTAAAAGTTTACTTTTGTTAAATAAAACACAATAGTCCTAACACTCTTGAAAACTTTTTCTGTAAAAGGACTATAAGCAAATTTAAAAGTTTCCTTTTGTTAAATAAAACAAAAGAGTCTGAACACCCTTGAAAACCAAAAAAAACACGAGAAATTTGTTTTCAAGGGTGTTCGGACTCTTTTGTTTTATTTAACAAAATGAAACTTCTAAATTTGCTTTCAGTCCTTTTACAAAAAAAAAACGTAAGAGGACTGTCTAGAAAAAGGCTTACTTATTTGCTGTTTACATTAGATAACTCTACTTTCCTTTAACATTACTTTAAAACGTTCCATTTACTGTTGAATGAGGCCTTGCTCCTTCAGTGAAAATAAGTGTTTTTATTTGGGTTGTCAGATTTATACAATTATTTTATCTCTATAATCATTCTTTCTTCTCTTTATACAGAGCGAACAAAAAAGATATTTTACAATTTTAACAGCCCTGAATTTCACATTTGAGATAAAAACCAACAGCGTGACCATTCTTATCAAATACTGCTACAAATATTTCTTCATTTTCGTGAGCGTTATTTAGATAATCATCGCTAGGAACAAATGCAATTATTCTCAGCCGTCCCCTTCCTCCCCATTTGGAATTAGCTGAACTCTAAAAAAAATTCTTATAGCAGAGTTAAATTGTTTGGCTTCTACACCAACTTTTTCAGAACAATCTTTCTGGCATGTGATGCTTCACTGCAGAATTTAGAGGCATAATCAGAGGGGGGCATTGTTTTCCCGTGGATTTCCTCCCCATATTACATTTCGTTTGTCTTCCATAATTTAACCGGGGTCACTATACTCATCAATATTCCTGGACAGGGCAAGTCGAAAGAATAATTCAGTGACAAGTGATAAATCAAATGTTATAATTAAGAGTTTCGACCCTCTTACTAGAGCCTTCTGCTGGCAATAATTTGTTGAACAATACCAGTTCGTTTCTGTGTGGAATACTTTTTTTTTTAAAGACAGTACTAGCATCAACAATACCTGCCATCTGGTGTTAAAGCTGTTAAGCTTTGTACAGAGTGCTAAAAAATAAATGTGAAGCCCAATCTGTCATTTGATTTATTGCCCTCCAGTGGCACAGCGGTATGTCTGCGGACTTACAACGCTAGAAACCGGGTTTCGATACCCGTGGTGGGCAGAGCACAGATAGCCCTTGTGTAGCTTTGTGCATAATTAAAAACAAACAAACAAACAAACATATAATGATATTTAATTTTGAGAACAGTCCATGTATATCATTTACAGCAAACGGCATTATTACTCTGAGTTTTTGTGACAGGCATGCCACAGTGTAAACATTCTGATGCTCGAACCTCTGGAAATAATTCTCTCCATGCACCTGTTTATAGCATTTACAGTTTTACTTTCTTCACTTGTCTTGGAACCGCTTCTGTGATTGGCCTTCAATCTAGTTCCCAAATGAGCTTTTTTTTTATAATCTTTATCACACCAACTCTGATCATGCCAATGGGCGACATTGATAAGCCCATTGGTTTTTACCTATTGCTCACCAACTTTTAACTTTTAAAAATTCAAACTAGGTTATTTTATCTAAAATGTATCTCACCTTCTTCAATCGTTTTCATTTTGTTGTTGTTTAAAATCGTAATAGTATATTTTTGAAAGCTCTTACCATAGATTTTAATTTTCCCTTCAAACTTTCCGAGTTTGTTTTCTGCTACACACCCATACACGCCAATGTCTGACACTCGTAGACTTTTTATGGTCAACTTTGTCAGTAGCTTATAAGAGCGTTTATGAATCTGTGTTTCATATTTGATTGGATTTGTTGAAATAGTTCTGAAATCTTTCACCCACGTATTAACTGGAGTAGGATTGGCTTCTATGTGACAGGCCAGAGTAACGTCTTCACCAATTCGCCGACCCAGTATTTGTGTGGGCACCCATATCACTGGAGGAACTAGAATATATAAACATCTGGATTAGAAATCAAAACTCAATTCACCAACAAACTAACTATCCATAAGATGTGCATATGGTGAGCAAACATCGTAAAACAATGAACTTATTTTCACTGTGAACTTGAATTATTTTCTTACAAGTCATAGTATTATGCATTTTTATTATTCGAAATTGTCGACAGAAAGAACGGTATCGGCAGAGGTACCGAGAACATTAAATAATTAAACGTGTTTTATAGATTATTTAATTTTCTTTTCGAATAAGGGTGTAAACAGAGACTTTCTTGAAAATCTCGCCTTTCCGAAAATACAAAAATAGAATAAGAATGAACCATAAAAAAGGCACTCACATTCGACATCTATTACAATTCTTCGGCTCACAGAGGGCGGTACGCTATTGGAAGCAATACAAAGATAGGCTCCCATGTGAAGACGGCTAATACGAGAAATCTTTAATTCCTCTCCAAAATAAGAAGTGACTGAAAATAGATGCAATCATACTTGTAGATATAAGTATAGATTATTTGAAATACCATAACAATTAGATCATAAAGTAAAATCCTGATCATAACAGTAATGAAACAGATGCGAGTACCATAATTTTTATCTGTAAACTTCTAGGAGATAGAAATGTTTAACTAAACGAAAATCATATGTTCCATATACCAACATATCTTTCTGAACGTCATATCGTCACGTCGATAGTGTTATATTATATCTAGATAAAAGCAAGACAGTGATAATTTCCATTCATGGCCGGTATTATGACACGCCAGCACTGCCAGAGTACCTGACGTTGTGTATGTCAAATAAATTAATATTTTTAGCAAATCAAAAAAATGGCACCTAACAAAACACAAACGTAGTGCCAACTCTGAAAATTCTTTAAATAGAAAAACTAAATAAAAGATTTTTAAAAAATATGAAAAAGACATTGCTGGTGTAAACGTAAGGTATTTTGTACTTATGACAGTTACTAAGGCTATCCATAACCGTCCCTAAGTACTGACCAGAGCAACAGCAATTCACAATCCATGCTAAGAGATTGACTGTCACTCTTATAACGAATCCACAGATTAAACTGGGAGGAATATTTTGTGGTATCGCACGCTTTTAAACCTGCCTCGTGAGCTCCAAAATACAGACCTTTATACTATTTATTTGTAATTTAGTGTGAAGAAAGGGAGCTCTTCCCAACTGGGGTGCTTAAAAACAATCGCCCCGTACGTGTATTTGATTTTGGACTGCAGCGAAAATATTGTTTTGAATCTGAGCGAGAGTGTTTATTGTTTGGATGGATGGGATTGATGAGATGGTAGTCGGGAAGGAGGCCGTTGAAGGACCGTAGTTCCTGCATTCAAGATGTCTTCCCAGTTGTCAGGGTGTGTGTGGTGGGGGGGGGGAGTACCAAAGCATCCAGTGTAACCAGTGTTCTTGATTTATAAAGATGGATTTAATATACTATCACGGGTATTTTAGAAACTCTGATGAGAAAGAAACATAGGGGCAAACGACCCTTTTCATGGGTGCAGGGACCAGTAGGTCCAATTCTCATGTATAGTTTGATGTGTAAAACACACTTTCATAGGACAGACGCCGAATATTCCATCTGTCCTGTGCCCAGGTTGTAAGGAAACACTTGATTGTTAGATAACATAACACGAATATAATTAAAACCTTGTGTTGTATAATTTGAACTCTGTTTAGGCTTTTCCCTTGCAATATAGGTTGTAGGGTGTTAGGTACTTGAAGGGGGCACTTGTAACTTTGTGTGCGAGTGGTGAGTTCGTTCCTTTTATCCGCTTTTTTGTAAGCGTTTTAGTAAGCATGGTAAATCTGTCTCTTAGATTAGGTAAACCAATTGATTTATCATAGGTAGTTCAAAGTAGTGAAAATTGGAAGCCTTAGGGCCAGTCTGATTGTTCTAATTTTGTAATTGTAATGTTACTGTTTGACATGTATGTTATCTGAACAACCATATTCAAGGAGCGGGCGTATAACTGTTTTGTATATTTTGAGTGTTGTGGCGGAAGTGCAACCTGTGTATTTTCAGGAAATAACTTTTATGTAGTTGATTCGTTTTATAATTGGGGTGTGTATATGTCGAATGTGTTTTTCTCCATGTGAGGCGTTTATCAGAAGTGGTACCCAGAATTTTTTTGTTATTGAATAAAAGCAAAAGTACCCGTCCCCAGTGACGGTACAAGTTTAAGTTAATCTAACAATTTAAATTATTTCACTGACTTTAAATAGGTTAATTGTGTCGCACTCTTGGTTTTACTCAGAGCCAAAGCTCTGAGCTACTTATACCACAACAAGTAATTGTTGAGCATTTCAGTCATGCTAAGAGCCACTCAACAATAACATACGGTAAATCTACATTTTTATTCTTTAAGTTACGTTACATTTTGAAATGTGAATGACAGTGTCGAATATACTGCTTGCGAAATACAATTTGGCATTAACATTATCCATGCCTGTTCTCCCGTCATTTCAAAAGTGAATGTTGAACTTTGCCTGCGTGCGCATCTCTTCAAACGCAATGTGGGAAGCGGCCGCCTTAAACAAGAGACAGACAAACGCTGGGACAGACACCATGGTTCGCAATGTATGTAGGATTTTAATTTATAGAACTCTACTAAAGAGCCAACCCTTACACAATTTATAACATAATATATAGTTAAAGTTTTTAGGTTGTCTATAAGCTACAATAACACTGCTTGTTTGAAATTAAGCACAAAGTTAGACAATGGGCTATCTGTGCTCTGCCCACCACGGACATTTCATTTTGTAGAGAAAACAACAAAAAGTTCATACAAACCTACAAACTTTTTCCCGTTAACAGATGTTAGTGGTATTCGATTACCGTCTTCTCTCCGCCAGGTGACATTTGGTAAAGGATACCCATTGGCTTTACAATTCAAAGTGACGTCATCTCCCTCTTGTGTTGTCATGTCAGAACTACTTTCTACTTCACTGATACGAGGTGGAACTGAATTTAATGAAAGCAAGTATCTTAGATGACATTAAGCTCAATAAAGATTACTTTCGATAAAACAACTAAATTGTCCATAAAGAATTATCATTTACTAAAGGTATAGTAATTTCCAGTTTCAAAGACTATTTTAGTCAAAGAATGTGTGTGTTTAATAATATCGACCTGAGAGAGGAAATTATTTATCTAAAATAGTCAGTAGAAACTAGTGGCTTTGCTATTAGATTTTTTAAAAGTAACAAATGTTTTTCAATCATTTATAAAGTAAAGTATATTTGTAGTTAAACACAAAGCTGTTCTGTCCATCACGGGTATCGAAACTCGGTTTATAGCGTTGTAAGTCCGCAGATATGCCACTGGGGAGCTTACGAAATAAAGAAAAATATTTTTACAACTATTAAAGAACTGGAAACAACTTTGTAAAAAATGTGTTTGTGTGAAACCTAATAACATAATCCAAAATATGATTTAAAAAAAATGCTCTTGTATAACTTGGGGGTGAATCAGTACTCGAATTTGAGGGGGGGGGGGTGAACGGGTGGGGACTCTGTTCCAATTGTTAAGTTAAGTATCACTTTCGCTCCCCTTGTTAACAAAATGAAGCGCTTTGGGGGGAGAAGAGAGAGCTTTTTCAGCTGGAGTCGTGCTGATTCTCCCTGTCCGAAATATTATCTCCATCAGCCATTGGTAGAGTTAGTTTTTCGTTTGCTTTTAATGCTGGTTTTATGCAAAGTCGTTATTAAATCTTAATTTAGATCAAATTGGTGACTGATTAATGGACAGTTAAGTTCATGATATGTTCATATATACGATAGTACCAGTATAATGGACGCTTCTTTTATTATGTTTATGGAGCTTTCGTGTTAAGTTTAGTTACAATTCCAGCATGGGAGTAAAAGGCTAAAAAAAAACATGTTACTAGTGGGGGTCCGTAACTGATGAAACAATGTATTCTAATCTTTGAAAAGTAATAGCGTAATAAAACTATATTTAATCAGCTGTACTCATTACTGGGTTGGTTTCTATTTTCGATCTAAGTAGGAATAACTGGATCTTATTAGAAGTTAATATTAATTCATCAATGATATAGAGAAATATGACAAACAGTAACGAAAAAATCTTACTTACGGTTTATTTTAGGCGCCTTTTAATAATTGAAAACAAAGAACAAGCAGTTTAATAATCGTCAAGTGCAATAAACAACTGTAGCCGTAACAGTATGTTAGCTTCATATATTTATCCTCGAGAAGCGTTGAATCAATGGGCGGTTTACCCTCGCTTTAAATAAATATATCTACTTCATAGTTGTCGATCCTGTTGGTAATGAAATAAGTTACAATGATGCACATTTGTATAAATTGTAGAGGAAATGTATGTACTTATAAAATTAAATACTTTTGGTCTACTTATAAAGAGATACTGCGTCACATAATTAAATATATTATTCAAGTCTGAAATACGTCGTTTTTAAAGCCACCAATACGTAAATACGTTTTATGCGCGCAATATAGTCACCTCAAGCTCTCCTTAATTTACATTTTATTTACCTAATCCGAACAACTAGATTTCACAATTTCTCGTTCAGCATCAGTAAGTACAATTATGACATTTGGAAGGTTTGGGTAATATTCACCATTATATGTCTAGCTTGACTGACGAGAGATCACTGAGCTTGAAACTGTAGCCCTCTATGGATCACATACATCAAGTATGAGAAAACACTTTTCGTATCAAATGAGACCAGTTAGGCTTTTTTTTAAATGATACTAAATCAAACTATTCTTTAATTCAATTTAATTGTGCGAGTTAATTCATATGCACACTGCTTTCAAGGGTTAGAGGGCATGGTGATATCTTTTAAATATTAAGTTTCTGAAACGTTAATTAACATTCAAAGAATATCGAATTTTCCATATAAAAGTGTGTCATTTCTTTAGAAGTTTATTTGTTTGTTATTGAACGCAAAGCTGCAAAAGTTTGGTATCTGCGCTGTATCCCCCCCAACAGGGATCGAACCATCAATTTAAGCGTTATAAGCCTTCAAGCTTATGGCCGAGCCACCAGGGTATGGGACTTCTTCAGGAGATTGCTGTTTATGGACGTAATATAAAGTAAGTCACTTTATTTTTGTTCTTAGACTAGTGCAAGCTCAAGTTTTTAAACGCTCCTTTCCACTGTTAAAAACACGCCTTGTTTCATCGGTGTGGTAACAGTAACTAAAACCAATAAGTGGATTGTCAGCTGAGCTAGCTGATGACCGAAAACGATTAAAACAAAAAGATAGAAAGTATTAATATGCGTACAAAACACCAGAAAACGAAATATAGCTTACACTTTGGAGTGAAACCATTTGAGTTTTATCAGAACAACGAAACACGAAAAGACCACTTGACACTGCTCAACGTAAGATGAACAATGATGTTGTAGTTAGACATGGAAGTAATGGACGTAAGCCAAAGTTTCAAAGAAATACAACGCGTATACGATGATTAACTTACTGATAGGGATAAAAAATTAACTCTCTCCTAATTCTAAGTTACATCATCAATTTATCAACTTGGTACATTTATGGCAAGGATTGCTTCGATCCAGTTCAGTGACAAAGCAAGATTGAACAGTATCAACTACTATATTTCATCACAGCAACAACGTTTCGTTATAATTAATTTTCACGCAGAGATATGACTTAATCTAATTAATGTAATAGGTAGAAAAAATTGTTCGTATATCATCTATGTATGTACGCTGTTTTAAATTAAGAGCATAATTTATCATTTCATTTGGAATAAGACTTTTTTTTTCAATGATGAAACTTTATGAATCACAAGGATTTTACTAAATCACTAATCAGTCATTAAAAAATCGTAAAACATCTTTGGAGGAAGATATAAACAATGTAATGAATGGTGAGCTAGATCAATATGGACAGTAAATAAGGGATGTTAATCAACTGCTGACTGGCTACTTAGTGCTCAAGCGAAGATATATCAACTCTTACTGTTCCCCATGTATGTCAGTTACTCCATCACAGTGCTTTTTTGTGGCTTACCATTAACAACGCGAATAGTGTTCTTTTGTATGTTGAGTCTTGAAATAGATCATAATTTACAGTACTAATGTATAAGAATACCGATTTTTTTTTGTTCTCTTGTAAAATGTGGATAAATTTACATTTTGTCAAACCAGATATGAAAAACGATCGCATACTTTTTATGATAACCCAAGTATCTGACAGATACACTTTTCTCAATGGTGTGCTCTAATATTTAATATTCTGACTTATTTTGTGTTAAGATAACAATTCTCACAGCAGCGCGAAAAAAAAAAGTTACTTTGCCCATTGGAGAGAAACCAGATTTGGACAATTCATGATGAAATTATTATTTATTACTAATTTGTTGAATGAGAACGAAAAAGTTTTGAATTTGATACTTTCAACCCGAATAACACCTTAAGCAACCAAATTAGGGACTCCCAATTTTTAGATATAGTCCATCCTAATTTGAACTCCTGACCAAGCTGAAGAAAGACAGCCAGTCATCAGTATTCGCCGCCATAAAACATTTCTTTGTCCAGCTTTAAACTGAATATATGGATTGATTATCAAACTTATAACACACCCAAAGGTGAAAGGGGGGATTAAAACATAATCACTGTAATTTGTGTTATATTTTCTGAGGATCAATAAGAAAATGTAAATTGCTTTGAAGTTTAAAATTTCACTTTTTCTTTAAGGAAGAAAACCGTAGATATGTTTAGTTTAGTTTATATATATATATATATAAATCGAATTTGATTTCACTACAATTGAATATTTTAATTTGATGTCTAAATATGACAATTGATAATGTAATATTATTATTTTTTAGTTTTTTGGTAAAACAATATTGAGTTTAGACGCAGTATAGATAGTTTGAAACCTATCGGTAAAACACTAAGTTACTATGATTCGTTTCAAAAGTTATCAAGTTACTTATACATTATTAAAATATACATAATCCACTATCTAAAAACATATGCCCATTAAACAAAGCTCTCCAGTGGCACAGCGGTATGTCTGCGGACTTACGACGCTAGAATCCGGGTTTCAATACCTGTGTTGGACAGAGCACAGATAGCCCATTGTGTAGCTTTGTGCTTAATTACAAATAAACAAACATTAAACAAAATTCAGTTGATTACAGTTGAGAAGGACAATACCATTCTAACCTAAGATTTCCAAATATCCAGTTTGACTCATCATGGGTAATGTGTTAACTTGACACATGTATCCTCCCCGATCTGATTCCCGAACGTCCTTGACACGCAGCACAAACTGCCTACTGTCAACAGAGCTGACAGATATTCTGTAGTTCCGTGTGATTAGATGCTGATGAATCGACAGAATAGCTTTGGTCTCCACTTTTATCCACGCTACCTAGAAATATGTATTTAATGTAATGGTTACAAGTGATATAAACACTCTAAACGTACACAACAATGCATGCCAAAACAACTAGGTGACTAGGAATTCAAATAACAAATATACAAGGTAATTGTAAAGAAAGAAAGAATTAAAGTGATTATATCTTAACATCTACTGGCTCTAGAGGCATTGATAATCATGATTTATAATCAGGAAAGTTTGGATATGGTACAGGATAATAAACAAACTTAATATTCCGAAAATTGTTTAATTTCGAAGTCTAAGTTCAAGAGAGGTTCAGTTCAATCTACACTTTGATCAACGTGTATTATTGGTCTATACTAGTTTCAGAGAATTCCACTCCTCATCAGTAACCTTGATGGTATGGTACAGGGTGTTTCAAAAGCTATCGCAGAAGGTGTTCATTCAGCATACGAAGCTACTAACTGTCATCTGTTTCCAACAGTGTTCATTGATCCTCGAAATATCCTACAGACATTTAATTAACTCCACAATCTTTTATTATAGAAAGAAGAGAAATAAAAACAGTGGTTTGGGAGAAAACGTACTTAAGTTTGAAACACTTTGTAGCATATTCAATAATTCAAACATTTCTGAATAAAACCTGTTGTTCTCAGTGTGCCTCTGATGAAAATTTATTCTCATAGGACAAGTAATTTAAGACTTAATCTTTTTTTGTTTTGTAATTACTCTGTATAACTCTGCATAGAAACAAGTTCGCGAAATACTTTTCGAACTAAACAATGGGTCAAACTAGTATAGGTCACCTTCAATATATGGTGTTTAATACGAAATTGTGAGCGAAAGTAAAAGCGTATATTCCTATGTCAATCACGTTATATCTGTTATATCCAGGACCGACAAGGATTCAATTAGTAAAGTGTATTTTTTTATTTATTTTAGAACTAGGGTAGGGATTTTTAACATTACGTTAGTCATTTATTTTAACTCAATTTATTATTAAATATTATTTCCTTGAATTAAACTGCTAATTATTCAGAACTGGCGAAACATCAGTCTCGTGTATAAGCGAAGTTGCCAATCTCTTGGCAACGCTAGAATCCGGGTTTCGATACTCGTGGTGAGCAGAGCACAGATAGTCCATTGTGTAGCTTTGTGCTTAATTACGAACAAACAAAAGCATTTAAGTATTCCAAGTTTTAACAAAATAAGTTGAAAATAGCGAAACTTAGACGTCGCAACTTCAAATAGCTGGATAATTTTTGAAGCTAGCTTTATAGTTTTCTAAGTTTGGGTTAGTAAAAGATAATAGTGAAACATCTTGAATTTCTCGCTTTCAAGAACAATAATATTTTACCCAATAATACGTAAAAATCAGATCAGAATTGAAGTTGAACCTTGAAGTTCGGCTTCATCTATACAATTTGCTATAACTAGAAAACATAAAGTTTAGTTATTTTCAATAAGAGTCGCTTGGTGTTAAGCACAAAGGTGCACAATGTGCTATTTGTGCTGTACGAACCCCGAATTTTACCGTTATAAGTTTGGTTTTCTCACGTGAAACTGGTTTCCGAACGAGTATTAGGTAAGTCCACTTTATAACGGGAGGATCGATCAGGACGATTGTGAAGTAAATCTGAGTTTAAGCTAGTTAATAAACAGTCTGGACACATGATGTAAAGCGAAACACAATATTTATTATATTGCAAAAACAAAAACACAGTGTGTGTAATTGCGTAGACACTGGACAGTCTCCTTCTACAGGATATATAAATTATTTAACTGTTTTCTTCTCGCAAGATGTATTTTCTTTGGTCTGTTCATTGTAATGGCCAAGTAGAACTGATGTTAACTCAACGCCAATAATAACAAGAAACGTCAGATTTATCCATAGCAACGCGCGTTACCATATGCCTGGTTTTTCTCGCACAACGGAGTTAAGGCTGTAATCCGTAGATATCATTTAATCGGCCAGTGAAGGACATTGCTGTCGTTGACCTGGGCAAAGTAGATACTATTTGCTAGAGAACAACAAAGGTAGAAAAGAACTCAATGGTTTTGTTGAACCACCTATTTACGCTAGAACTGCATAGAATCAAACTAAACATATATATTTTAAAATTGTTATATTAATAAAAGAAGGTAAAAAACATATAGCGTGCCTGCATACAATACACTATTTAAGCTCCTACATTTCTTGCTGAGGCATTGGAGGACTTCCTATAAGGTGCATTCAGTTCACCATTCTTTAGGGTAAGATTTCGAAATTGTAAACATTGAATGAAATAAAGATAAATTGCAAAAGTAGTTAATTCAAAATCTGTTAAAATTCATCAGTTACAAATATCAGATTATTAAAAAGTATTCGTTCCTTACTTCAAATTTGGTATTGAAACTCTTCTGCTGGTGAGTCCAAATATATTAAAATTCACGTTTTGTGTTTGTTTCTTTGTTTTTGTTGGGTTTTTTTGGGAGGGGGGGGAGAAGCAGATGTAAGCTTTTAGTTGATTTAATGAGACCGTCTATGTTAACTGCTATACGATACATTTAGAAATTAATCAAACGAATACAGTTTATTTTACTTTGTATTCTCTGAGATAGTCCACCACACAAGGAAAGCTAGCGTCTCTGCCTAAAGGCACGGATAGATTAGGCACTGGATCGGCGAACGTTGGTTCCAGGGATATCATACCTGTTAATTATAGAAAGAAAATGTTGTTTGAATTATTATTACTTTTTTCAACAATTAAAACGAAGCTTAAGATTCCAAACTGTTTATAAGACAGATAAATTTGAACAAAATGGTTGTTGTTGTTGTTGTTGTCATTAGCTTTTTCTTTTCTCATTCCCTTGCCGAGAAGAACGTTAGATTTATTGTCATTTATTTTCTTTACGAGATGTATTAATATTAATATTTTCAGAAAGAGATCTGGTGTACAAGTCACATAGAAAAATTATGTATTGTAGCCTGCCCACCTAGTGGTTCAGCAGTAAGTTTACGGACATACAACGCTAAAATCCGAGGTCATATTCCCCGAGGTAAACAGAGTGCATATAACCAGCCCATTGTCTTGCTTTGCACTAAAACAACAATAACGAGAAATTGTTGCATCCCTCTTGTGGCTCCCCCAGTGGCACAGTGCGGACTTACAACGCTAGAATCCGGGTTTCGATACCCGTGGTGAGCAGAGCACAAATAGTCCATTGTGTAGCTTTGTGCTTAATTACAAACAAACAAACCCTCTTATGGCAAGTTATAAAAGATTGATGTTAAAATATAACCACCTACATTATCAGAAGGAAAATGTTTAGAAGATCACATGGACTATTAAATCGTTCGCTGGTTTGATCATTTTTCACTGTTTCAAATAACCTCATGTAGAGTGTACATAAAATTAGTATTATAAAAAACTATATGAAAATATAAACAAGGGATTTGATGAATCAATCAAGAGACGTGGGTCGCTTGGTATTATTAAGAAATTTCTTTGTTCATTTTATTTCATGGATTACCCGGTGAATTTTATCTTGTTGCGAATATGCGAATATAGATTCCTCAGGAGTATGATGTAGTCCTCCCCTCTCTCCCCAGTAGGTCTGCAGTAAGTATAAAGACTTACAATGCTAAAATTCGAAGTTATATTCCCCTCTGGGGAGATAACGCAAATAACCCATTGTTTATCTTTGTGTTGAAACAACAACAGTTTTTTGACACAAAGTATATATATTTCAGAATTATGTGGTACTTATTTCTGGCTCTGTGCTCCCGCCCCCACCCCCCTCAATTCAGATTCCAAATTGCTACCAAAAATCTATGAGAAACACAAATCAAAAACTCAAATACAATACAATTAAAGCTAAATATAATATTAATAATTAGTTCACACGTAAAGGTTTCTAATACCTTGATAATATTACAATAATCAAAACATTTCGGGGAAAGTACATTCGTGTGAATGTTTCATGATAAAGTGATGTCTTATGATTTATTAATTAATGTTTTTTTTTGTTTGAAGTTAAGCACAAAGCTACACACACAGGGCTATCTGTGCTCTGGCCACCACAGGTATCGAAACCCAGTTTTTAGCGTTGTAAGTCCGCAGACATGCCATTGGAGGGCATTAGTTAATGTACAGTGACATGTAATACTGGTGAATACGAGTTAATTGATTTTAGCAGTCGAAACATAGGATAAGAACTTATTCGTAATGAGAAAGTAACTCATTAATAATAAGACAAAACTGACCGTGTAGGATATTAACCATAACAACGATTTACATCCGATTACCACCAATTGTGTGTACAGGGTGTCCCAGAACTTTGGACCAATTAGGAAAAATACACAATTTGTTCTTAATTTATTTATTATTCAAATTGCATGCCATTAACAGCCATACATACATCAATTCTTGGTATACTGTACCATCAGGGTATTTTCTTTCCTGAAATATGTACAAATGACATTAAAAATGTGTTTGTTTAACTTTCAGAATATAATGGGTCCAGACTTCTGGGACACCCTGCATAGTTGTCAATAGCATCTCGTGTAAGTCATGAGGGGCAGAATGTAAGATGTTTGAGTCGAAAATATGCACTCAACTTTATTTCCGTATTATGAGTCTAGTTCATGGCTACAAAATGCATAAACCCACCTTTATATATTTCATTTTTGCTCTTTTTCTCTTGAGCTAAATCAGGCCTTTGTTGCTGTTGTGTTTGAAAGGTTTATAAAGAACAGAGATATGGGCAAGGGTGAAGATCTGGCTATTCAATAACTTAGGTACTAAGTATGATTGGACAATTACTTCAAGAATTTGCCTTCCCGTCATAAGAAGGATTCTATGATTTTATCCGTTGTGTTTCTCTATTGGAATTGGAATACGGGGCCAAAGTCATATTTTTTTGTCTTAGTTTAGGTAAGTTTAAGCACAGAAAGAAGCAAATCAAAGCAACTTAATTAATTAAGAGCAACAGGACTTCACCAAGGAGCATTTTCAAGCAAGCAAAATGAAATTGCTACAAAACAAACTCAGTAATAATAAACTTACCACCTCCTGTCCCTATACCGTAAAAGATCACTAATGACGAATTGAGTAGAATCCACCGAAACCAACTGACCAAAGTCCACGCATATACGTAGTGAGATGCTACATCAGCATATTTTATTAGCCTGTGAACGTGCTGTACTGTCATGTCTTATAGCTAGAAACGGTGTGTCCGCTGGGATTTTCTGGTTCTCCTCGAGATATAGTTTGTATGGAATGATGATGCGTGGAGTGTCGCGTGCTACGACGTTTTCTATGATACTGCACTCGAGAGGCAGGAACCTCTTCTCTTGATACTGTTTGTTTTGAAACAAGGCGTTTTAATAAGTACAAATTTGGTCCATTGAAAATGAGCAAAACAGTGGCTACTTTTGTGTAATTATTACACAAATGAGGTTTTTATGAGTCCATAACTCTTAATATTGTGCATTAATTAAATTGATCTATGTGAAACGTAAAATAACTATTATACGTTATGGCTCATATTAAGCTGATCTATGTTTTTAAACTAGTGCTTGCATGTTTAAAAACATATATCAGTTTAACATGAGTGATAACGTATAGTAGTACTTGTATGTTTCACATAGATCAATTTAACATGAGTGATAACGTATAATGGTACTTGTACGTTTCACATAGATCAGCTTAACATGAGTGATAAGGTATAGTAGTACTTGTACGTTTAAAAACATAGATCAGTTTGTTTCACATAGATCAGCTTAACATGAGTGATAACATATAGTAGTACTTGTACGTTTAAAAACATAGATCAGTTTAACATGAATCATAACGTATAGTAGTACTTGTATGTTTAAAAACATAGATCAGTTTGTTTCACATAGATCAGCTTAACATGAGTGATAACATATAGTAGTAGTTGTACGTTTAAAACATAGATCAGTTTGTTTCACATAGATCAGCTTAACATGAGTGATAACATATAGTAGTACTTGTACGTTTCACATAGATCAGTTTAACATGAGTCATAACGTATAGTAGTACTTGTATCTATACGTTATCACTCATGTGGAAAGATGAATCGGCAAAGTTTTAACGATGCTGTTAGACTTTACTTTTCAAGTTTTTATAATACTAAACTCTGAAAGTCCAAGGCTGAACACGAGAAAGGTTTGTTTTACGAGAACTACAAACATTAATTACTCGTGAATGCTTAGTTACACTAAATATTAACTAGTTTCAACCGAAACACGTGGCTCCAAACATTTCTTTACCATCATTGTCGAAATGTAAACAAAGCTTCCAGTTTCTCATTATTGTATAACAATAAACTCCAGAAAAAAAAAAAATAATAATGATACGTTTGTATGTGTATTAACAAATCAAGACACGTTAAAAACATCCCAAACTGACAACTTAAAGGATAAACAAGTTTTATAATAAATACTGCCAAAATGTTAGAATGACCTCAGGCATATGGTTGTGTACAGTTACAAGATAAATCTGTCTTTAATATACAAGAGAGCTTTCTTGTTAACCCTGAAGTTAGTTTGATCAAGATGATTACATAACTAATCTTTACATACGCCTTTTAATTCGATTTATTTTCACTTCCTGTGGGCAGTGTTTGAACTTGTTTGTTTTTGTTTTTGAATTTCGCGCAAAG